CAATAAGCCCCTGCATGTGTTGTTTCCAAACAGCATCCTCCCACATATAGCTTGCCTGCAGAGGGTGGATGATGCTGGTCTCTGGCTTCTGTGCCTGGAGGAGAGGGCACTACATGCACTGCCATAGGACAGGGCAGAATTGCTTCTGTGACAGCAAAGGTGGACAAGCTTGTCTTTGATTGTTATTTATATGCATTCAGCAGTAATCAATTTTTTCTTTTTTTTCTGCAGTCCAGGATGAGAAGACAGCATACATGCAGTGCTGAAGTCTGTCTTGCACAGGTAACCAGGGGTGGCAGCAACACATCAACTGATGAAACCTTATCCCAAGGCAGTGAGGATGCTGACTTTGTTCCAGACATGGGAGACTGATCAAAGCAAGAAGACCATGCATCTGTGGAAGCTTCATCCAGCTCAGATGAGGAGTTGGTGCCGCAAGCAGAAGCGATGCCAACACTCCCAGTGGCAAAGAGAAGAAGACCAGCTCAGAGCCACCATGGAAGACAGAGGAGACCTACAGCAGAACATGGAGCAGAACCACTGCCACCACTCCCAGAAACTTTGCAGATGATGACCCCTTTAGAGGCAGGTATGGCAAAGTGTGGGAAAAAAGTCCACAGCTAATACGTCATCAGAGAACAGCCAAAGACATAGTCCATGGAAGTGCTGGGGCAACAAGAGAAAGTATAAAGACACAGTGGTGGAAACGTTCCACCTGTTTCTCACACAAGATATCCTGACTGTCATCATAAGAGAAACAAACAGAGAGGCAGAAAGAAGATTCAGGGAGCGGAATGATAGTCATCCTGAAAATAGAAAGGAGTGGAAAAAGCTGGACAAAACAGAGCTGAAAGCCTACATTGGCCTCCTACTGCTGAGTGGTCTATACCACAGTGGTCATGAGGCACTGGAGGAGTTGTGGGAGCAATGCACCAGGTGTCCTTGTTTCTGTGCCACCATGAGTTTAAAATGATTCTGTCAAATCACCAGCTACCTGAGATTTGACAACAAACTGACACGTGAGGAGAGGAAAGCAGTGCACAAGTTTGCTGCCTTCAGAGATATTTGGGCACAATTTGTGGAGCAGCTCAGGAAATGGTATATTCCAGGAATACGCCTGATGGTTGATGAGCAGCACATTGCATTAAGGGGTCACTGTCCCTTCAGACAGTATATGCTCAGCAAGCCTGCCAAATATGGGTTGAAAATTTGGTAGTGCTGTGATGCAACAACATCATTCCCCCTGTCTGGAGACTTCTACCCAGGCAAGCAACTAGAAGCTCCATGCCAAGGTAAAAATTGATTCATCCCTGGTACAAAACTGGAAGAAATATTGTGGGTGACAATTTCTTCATAAGTACTGACCTGGCAGAAAGACTGCTATAGCAGGATTTGACCTATGTGGGTACGATTCAGAAAAAAAAGGCCGATATCCCAAACAAAATGCAAGCAAATCGAAGATGGGAGACTTTTTCATCCATTTTTGCTTTTGATGGAGAACTCACTCTAGTTTGCTATGTTCCAAAGAAGCCCTAAGTTGTGCTGTTGCTTTCAAGCATGCACCATGACCTGTCTGTGGGTGGAAAGCAAAGAAAGCTGGACATCACCCATGACAATAAAAACAAGGGTGGGTTGGATAACCTTGACCACTTAGTCTATATGACCACCTGCAGACAGAAAATCAACAGGGGTCCAATGACACTATTTTTCAATATGCTGGATGTGGCTGCCATTGCCAGCCTCATCATTTGGCTAAGCCAAAAAGCAAACTAGAAGCAAAGATCACATTTAAGAAGATGGCGCTTTTTTCTTCAGGAACTTGGACAACAGTTGATCAATGGACAAAGAAAATGAAGAATGATGGATACACGTAATCTGTCTAAGTCCATCAAATCTGGTATGACTGCCCTAAATTAAAAATTGCCACAATGCACCCCAATAGAGCCTTCTGCAAGCATAAGTGGATGTTTTGCTTTTTGTCCAAGGACAGATGACCGCAAAACCCGGATGCGAAGATTGTAAGTGATTTGCTTGTGTGAATCACAGTATATCACTGCTGCTTTGTAAGGAATGCAATATTTAGTTAAAACTGGAAAGGTTTTTGGAGGTAACTGTTAGTTTGAAAACAGTGTGAACTGCAAACTTAGCAAATTGTTCATTCACATTTTGAAACTCTAAAAGAAGTTTAAATTTTGTTCATAGTTCTAGTTAAATAATAGTTTGGGCTCAAATCATCATAAATATTTTTTCAAACAATCTGTATATTTAATAAATAGTTTTTGGTACTTTATACTGTTGTCACTGATTCCATTTTGTTTATGTGGGTGGGATAACAATGAGACCAACAATGTCAAATTGTGGGGTAACAAGTTACCCCATGAGAACAACAACGGTTATGGTTTAATGATAATGGATGAGGGTTAAGTGCCTAAGGATTGTGATCTCACACTGGTTTTACACTTGGATAGTTTAAATGACATGTTATTTATGCCACTGTGAGATCATAACCAGGCTTCTTAAGCTATTAAGACAGAAGAACAGGTTCATAAACTGCCAAAAAAGACATTTCCAGTGAATTCCTAAGGATTTTAGAGAATTTACCACCAATTTCAGTTCCTTCTGAACATGACTTACATATGTAATCTAAAAAGGGTACACATCTCCAAAAAGAAAGTAAAGAAGAATTTATTCAGGAATCATAAATGAGTTTAAAGAAAAATAGGAATGGTAAAAGAAAAAAAACGGAAAAAGAAGCTAATATAAATTATAAATGACTTTGAAATGAATATTCAGGTATGTTTATTTTCTTTTACTCAAATGACAGCTTTCATGGACCTTGTGATCAGTATGTGGGCAGATTCTTAAAATTTCATATAGAAAGTTATTTTGTAGAGAAACTTGAATCATCTGTAATCTTGCAGTCTATTTGTGTAATTAAATTACTTATGCAGGCTGCTGCTTGTACCTACTATGCCCATTCTTGCATTTCAATCATCTATCCAATTTGATATATAGGAAAGCAGAAGAAATCACAAAACACCCCATGGGAATAATCTACTACAATTTTACTAGTTGTGTTTATAATGATTTCCTCATCTGTCTCATTCAAGTGATAAGTCACCAAACCATGTTAGTCTAGCTGGATCTCAATTCACTTTATATATTCAGACAAAGCTTTGCCATTAAAATTGTCCCAGCTTACTATTAATATTTATTCTTCTATTTTTGTAAAAACTCATTGAGAAGCCACATGCCATCACTTCCTGCATTTTATGAGAGGTTTTTACTTCTTTTTTTCTGTATATATTGATTTATAAAAGAGCTATTATATATATGTTTCTTGAAGCAGCTATGAAAGGTCATTTTAGTCTATTATAGAAGGCTGATGTTAAGTGATACATGGCATAGAAGCACACATTTTTATAACAGAAAACATGAAATTCCTGTATAGCTAATCCAGATTTAACAGTAAGCACAACTATTTCATTCAACTATTATTGTTATTATTCTTATTCTTATTATAGGTCTGACTGGTGATCTTTCACATTTTCCTTGAAATGCACACTAAATGCCCACATTCAATTTCAAGATAGAATAACTATACAATTTAGAAAACTTCTTCCTTGACTTGTCACTTGTATATGCAGTAGATTTTTAAGTGACTCATGTGCCACACTGGGTATTAGAATTGGAAGCCATTAAATGGAAAAATTTGGTGGTTAGAAAGACAGGCATTTAAGATTAGGTCACTTTGACCAAATTAATCAAATATTGTCTTAGTATATTTTTGGTAGGTTTCTGTGTCTGTGCGTGCACGCACGCTTTCTCTGTTCCAATACGTTCTTATTAATTTCCTAAAATTAAAACACACAAAACTGGGCAGTAACTAAATACTACGTTGGGAAAGAGATGACAAAACAAAACATATTAGGATCCCTAACCCAATATCTACGTCACCCAAGTTGTTGGAATGAACTGGGTGGGGCCCAGCCCCATGCACAGTGCTGCGGAGACGGGCACAGGCCAGATGCAATCAATTGGCAGCCCAAATTCATCCCACAGTCTGTATTTTCCCCACCCCTGCTTTAGAGGGAGTGTGTATGAACAGGGTATATCTAGAGTGTTCTATTCCCTGTCATCTGTTTTAGGTGTCAACCTGAAAGATCTCCCTTGTGAGATCTTGTATATTGTGGGTGTGGGAGGCGGGTGATCTCCCTGCAAGACACTTTAGAGCCATGTGCCCACAGTCCCATGCATGGGGCTGCATGGAGCTCCCCCTGCGTGGCACATGCAGAGCCCTGCACCAAAAGCTCCACACAATGGGCTGCAAGTGCTGGCTCTGAAGTGCCCCACTCCATTCCCCCCCTAGACCAGGAGCAGTGGAGCAGCATCTGGAGTGGAGCATCCTCCCCACCATTTCTCTAGACTGATTCCTGGTCTGGCGAAGGTAGGAGAGCAGGGGAAAGGGGGCAGCTACAGGGAGAATGCCCATACTGCTCCCTTTCCCAGAACCATTTCTTGTGGTGGTAATTTCTAAAAAATTTCCACATTTAGAAATGAACGACTGTATACTACCTCTCTAGACACTCGTTTGGTACTAGGCTCATAGGTATTGATCTGTCCATTGCTGGAGTATTCTGTCAGAGATTTTTGTGTAGCAAAAGGCCAAAGGTGTGCTGACACAACACACAGCTAGATTAACCTTGAATTTTAATGTATGAAGGTATGGAAGAGGTATGGGGTGATTCATTGCTGTACATGTTGTAAATCATCAAGCTCTGTTTTATCAGTTTGCCACTAAAAATTTGATATTGAGAATCTGATGAGACACTACATCCAATGTTATATAGAATAAGATTTCTCAATATTAGAGAAGTTTTTTGGCTCTTTTCCATAACAGAAGCTGTTATGGAAAAGAGCCAAAAGCTTCCTCCGCTCGACTTATGGGAAGATAAGCCAGACACTTTGATGTTTTTGAGCATTACACTCATGAAGCACATCATGATTATTTATTTACAAATGTCAAGTGCCATCACGGCTACACAGAGTGCTCTTGTAAGATGCAAACAAGAATGCAAGAGAAGAAATATATAGATCTTAAGTGAACTCACCCAGTTCTTATTTTCAGAGGCAAATGTTTACCCATCTTTAGTAATTATGAATTATATCATGCTGTAGGACAAAATATTTGAATAATGTAGATTTCAATTTTCAGTTCAGAATAGGCACCTTTGAAGCTCCTGCCTTGGAAAAAATCCAGTCTATATGTAATTTAGAATATAATTTACCTGTAGTCACGCAAATACAAGATGAGTTTATTTTCCCTCTGTGCAACATGAGGGGTTGGGGGATGGGCTCGTCTTGCATTTGAGAATTGGAGGCTAGGGCCAGAGCTACTGTCATGGTTACTGCCTGGTTGAGGCTGGGTTTCCTTGTAGGGTAAGCCGCACAGTGTGTGGAGGGAGTGTGGGGGAGACTGCACAGTGGCAGGGAAGCTGCTGTAGCTCTGGCTCCAGCTCTGCCCCTGGCTTGCCACTGCTGATTCCTGGCTGGGGACAGGGCCAGAGCCCAGCACAGTTGCAAGGGGAACAGGTGCCAGGGGGAAAGATGGTTATGGGTGCAGGTACTAGGTGGGGGGACAAGAGGTGGAGTTTAGACTTTTTACCACCCCTTCAATGCATTCCTCAGCACTTCCCCCCACTACTGGTGCAGGGATGAATTTAAGATGACCCCCTCCCCTTAACTAATAAGATTCTATACACCGAAAATCATAACAAACCTATCATTTTCCATATATAGAATCTAATTATTGAGGGGCGTCTTAAATTTGGGGTTGTCTTGAATCTGAATAAATATGGTATTTAGTTCTGTCATAATGGAGTGGGAAATGCTGCACTTAACATTTATGGGGGGCTCAAGTGCTATTAGAAATGTGTCAGTGTCCATAAATACTATCAGGCACCTCATAATACTGTTTAAGAGTTCCCATCCTCTTCAGATATTACTGAAAGTCAGTTAAATGCTCAAGGAATATTAGGTCCAAAAAGTATTTCTGCACCTGGGCATAAAGAACACCCAGAACAATAATTCTACTTCATAAAAGACCACGTGACTGAATTGTCTTATGTAGTAGTTTATTGTTTAACATAATAGCGTATTACAATGATAGGAAATCTGCTATTATCCACAATCTTCTCCCATTTTTCCAGCAAAGTCCTTGATTAACTCTGGTGTCATATATTTGATGTGGAATTTTCTCTTTTATCCCAATTTAAAAGTGAATTTAGTGCATATGGAAAGTGATAGCATTGCAACTTTTATTTGCTTAAAGCAGTAATTCTCAGCCAGCAGTGCCACAAGGATCCTTTGAAGGGTGCCACAAGGCATGAGGAGATAAGTGACATGTAAGGAGAAAAATACATAAGTGCAGGCTCAGGCTTGTCCCCGCATGGCCAATGCCCCAACTGCATTGCCTGCGTTGCAATATACAGAGTACTCTGTTATATATCATTTAGTTTCTGAAACTGGGTGCCACTTAATTTACAAAAGTTACGGAGAGGTGCCTCAAGTCCCATAAGGGGTGCCCCGAATTCAAAAAGCTGGAGAACCACTGGTCTAAAGAACAGATACAGGACAGAGATTTCTGTACATTTACAGTGAGGAATGGCTGTA